CGTCAGTGACGTCACCGCCATCGCCGACACCATCATGCTCGCTTGAAACGGCATCGTTCGATTTTTCTGAACTAGTTACCGAAATCCGTCTCCTGCGTGAGGAGATGAAAGAGTACAGAACAGAAATGCACAAGTTCCGTACCACAATTTCGAACCTTACTGTTACTGTAGGGTCATGTCAGCTCCAAATCGACGCGCTGACTACAAGGGTTAATGAAATGGAAAAGCAACGTTACGAGGGTACTAATGACACTACATCTGTTTTGGAGCAGACAATTTCCGAACTCAAAATGGAACTTAATGATCGTGACCAAGAGTTACTCTGTAACGACATCGAGATAGCTGGGATCCCGGAGGACATAAACGAGCGCGGTATTCACTTAGCACTTACCGTAGCGCAAAAGTTGGGCGTAGTTTTGGAGGAACGAGACATCGTAGACGCTCAGCGTGCCGGGACATTTAAACGTACGATGAGTGACAATTCTTCGATTAGCCGGCCACGCGCCCTAGTGGTGCGTTTGACACGCCGTACACATCGCGATCAAATGTTAGCCGCTGCACGTGTCCGCCGTGACATCACTACTGCTGGCTTGGGTCTGGCCTTGGCTGACCAACGCATCTATGTTAACGAAAGATTAACTCAAACCAATCGTCGACTTTTTTATAAGGCTCGGGTGGAATCTCTTCGCGTACAGTGGAAATATTTATGGACTCGCGAAGAAAAAATTTATGTCCGTATAGAGCACGGTTCGCCACGTCACCGTATACGCTCAGAAAATGATTTTAATAAAGTTTTTGGTTAATGTTAATGTTGGTTCTTGTGTTGGTATATAAGTTACAATTGTTATTCTCTTATATTACTATATATCTGCAAGACGCTGCTACTGTGTTGTAAAATTTTGTTATTATTACTAAATGGTAATAATAATGAATTTCTAACTAATTATTTTATGTTTATTTTTGAAAGGAAAATAAGTCTTTTTTTGTACGGTTTTATTGTATACGTTTTGTTATGGGATTTTAAATTTACTGAAATAGTTTTTTTGTTGTATATTAATATTTTATTATCTAACAATTACATTAAACCAATTTCGTACTATAATACTGGTTATTAACAAATGTAAAGTACTTCATTTGTGCTACTAAGTACATACATAAAAGATTAAAAAAAAAAAAAAAATATTATTTCTATAATCTACTCATTTATATTACAAAGTTATATGTTATTGTTATGTATAGAGACTACACAACTACACAATGATGTAAGCTTTGCCTATAGTTTATACACCACTACACACAAAAATAATGATGACTTTTCAAATTATTTGACATTTTTCCACAAAATCTATATTTTTGCACCAATTTATTCAGAGGACTGGCGTCACATAACAGCTCAGTAGATACTTGCTGCATAGTAAACAGATTCTTATTACATATTCTTACATTTTGCAGTTCATTAAAAAAAAAAAAATATCTGTTGGGTTGTTAAACCCCGGATCTCTCGGTACGCGACATGATGAATTTATTGTTGCTATGTTGAGACATTGCTATCAATGAAACTTGGCTTAGAGAGGGCGAGGAGGCGCGTGCACCCACAGTACCTGGATACCGATTACGTCATATCCCGCGACCCCTTAACGTGCGTGCGCGAGGCGGAGGAGTTGAGTTTTAAACAAGGAGTTAATGCGCGGACTATTACTCACCCATGCGCACCTTCTGTCGAGCAAATGTGGCTGAGTCTTAATCTCAATGGTACCAAGTTAGCTATTGGAACGGCATACCGCCCGCCGTGGCTTAATGTAGATACATTTATAGATGCCCTTAGTGAATCTATCACAGCTCTGGGTAATTTTGATGATATTGTTTTGTCGTGAGACTTAAATGTAAATCTTTTAAACAGTTCTGATATTAACACAAGAAAACTTTTTGACTATTTTAATTGCATTAATCACACACAATTTGTTAAAGAGCCTACTCACTTCACTGATCACAGTGAAACATTAATAGATGTAGTATTCTCAAACATGAACGTTTCCAATGTTGATGTAAATTATATTCCGGAACTTAGTAGTCACGCATTAGTCACCTGTGTTCTTAATGTTAGAAAACTGAAACCACGTCCCAGGACGTTTACTTGTAGATCCTTAAAGAACATAGATCTTGAATGGTTTAATGAAGATGTTAATTCTATTCCGTGGGAAGATTTTAACTATGAAAATGTTAATTGTATGTTGGATGCATTTAATAGAAATATATTGGGTCTTTTTGATAAACATGCTCCGATAAAACGTATACAAATGAAACAACGTTCATATTCTTGGATAACCTACACTATTAAAGAAATTATTAATTTGCGAGATAAGGCGCATACTAGGAGTAAATTTACTAATTTAGAAACGCACAAAAAATACTATAAAGAATTAAACGACATTATTAGTACAGCTATTCTTAGGGAAAAAGCCGCATATTTTAATGATAATATCAATAAAAACTTAAATAATGCACGTAACTTATGGAAAAATATCAAAAATAATGTAGTTAATTTTCACAAAAAAGATTTTGAACTTCCCGCATATTTGAATAAACCTGATAGCTTAAACCAACATTTTCTTAATCTTCCTGGAAAAGAAGATGCTGACAGTAATTTAATTGATTATTTTAAAAATAATACTTTTGGTTCTGCTGTATTCACCCTAAAACCATTAATTGAAACCGCAGTTTACAATATAATTAAATCTTTTTCATCGAATGCGCAAGGCGCTGACTGTATAACTTTGGATATGATTATGATTACATTACCCCGTACATTAAATATAATTACTGCCATAGTAAATAAAAGTATTGAAAGCGGTGTGTTTCCTGATTTATGGAAATTAGCCAAAGTTAGACCTATTCCAAAGACGCAACATCCAAAGGATTTTAAAGATTTACGGCCTATTAATGTTCTACCTTTTATGTCTAAGGTTGTTGAAAAGGCTATTTGTATACAAATGACAGAATACCTCGAATCAAACAGTATCTTACCTAAAAAACAATCCGGTTTCAGAAAGTCTCGTAGTACTACCACTGCTTTATTGGATGTGGTGGATGATATTTTGACTGCGCGGGATGGTGGTAATGGTACAATATTAACACTGCTAGATTTCTCACGTGCATTTGAGACTATTAATACCTCACTCCTATTATCAAAGCTAGCCTAAAGCTTATGGATTTGATAATAATGCTTTGCGTTGGTTTCCCAGCTATCTTTACGGCCGCACACAGTATGTTGAAACTAATGATGACAGTGGCAATGTGTCAACCTCTGCTATATTATCTGTGAACAGAGGAGTCCCACAGGGTTCTATACTAGGGCCTATCCTTTTTATTTTGTATACGACTGATATTACTTACACTATTCAAAATTTTAATTATCATTTATATGCTGACGACCTTCAATTATACATATCTGTAAAACCGGATACAACTGAGTCGGTAGTAAATAGAATAAATGAAGATCTGAATCGCTTAGCCTCTTGGTGTGAACAAAATTGTTTAGTTGTTAATCCCAGTAAGTCGAAGTTCATATTATTGGGCTCCAAACGTCAAGTAACTGATATTAATGCCCGTAAACCACAAATTGTTTTGTCTGGAAATCATATAGAACAAGTGACATATGCACGCAATTTAGGTCTTGTTATGGACGAGAGATTACAATTCGAAAAACATATATTGGATATCATGCGTTTTTACAGACTAAAAGTACTGTACAGGCTGCGTGAATTCTTATCTGTTGATATTCGAATCAAATTGTGCGAAGCGTTAGTGTTGTCTAAGTTTAATTACGCTGATAATGTGTTTGGGGAGTGCCTTTTAGCTCGAACTAAGAAAATGATACAACGTATCCAAAACGCATGTGCTCGATTTTGCTTTTCTATTGCTCGTCGTGCTCATATCACTCCCTTTTTGGAACAGAATAACTTGTTAAATATGACAGCACGTCGAAATTTACATTTTGCTTCATTGCTTTTTGGCGTAATACACAGTAAAAAGCCCTCATATCTGTATGATAAATTAAATTTTTCAAAGCGTAACATAAGAAAAAATTCTCTTTTACTTTGTCCACGATACAGAACAGCTGCTTTTCGTGGTAGCTTCCAGTACGCTGCTAAGAAATGCTGGAACAATCTTCCACCGCCAGTTAGGAACGCCAAATCATTATTCACCTTTAAAAAACTATACAAGAATTATCTATGTACTATTTAACCTATAAATCTTACGGCAAAGTAGTTGTATATATATATGTTTAATGTTTATATTTATTAATGTTATTTTATTCTATTTTGTTATTTCTAGTATATGAATTGGTTTGTATTTATTAGTTGTAATTTTGTTTTAATTATTATCAATAATATTTTAAATAGTGCCCTCTCTCTCCCCCCTTTTATATATATATTTTTGGTGCCACTGAAAACCAGCTGTATGTTCACCTAGGACATACATTAAAGCTGAGTGGAGCCATTTCAGTGCATTATTGGATGTAAAAAATGATTATTTTATGTTTATTTTTAATTATGGTAAATTAAGTTTAATTATATGTACATTTTATTTGCTCTTTTTTTTCGTTTGTTGTTTATATTGTATTTTTTACATTGCACTGAATAAAATATTTCTTTCTTTATTTCTTGTCATTTATGTAAACTAAAAAAAAAAATAATAATGAAAAAAAGTACCAAGAATATATCCCTAGAGGAACACCCATTTTAACACTAGAACCTTCGGACCTTACAACATTTATTTCAACAACTATTATCTAAATAGGATTTCACCAACTTTCATTTTTAATACCACAATGTTCTAGTTTGAGTAAGAGTGTTTCGTGATTAACGCAATCAAATGCTTTTGAGAGGTCACAATTCTGTGACCTCAAAAGCATTTGATTGTATTCACACCGATAGCATCCTGAGACCTCTCTCAACAGTAAAAAAAAAAAATGTGTTTCATTAAAGATAAACCAGCGTCAGTAGTTGCTTTCGCATTTATATTATTAGTAAGGATAATAAACCTTACTAACATTATAAAGGTAAGTTGTATGTATATGTATTGTGTACCTAAGAATGATTACTTGGTAAATAAAATTAGAGACACAATTAAATTATTTATTTATCTTATTAGGTCGCATTTGACTCTTAGAGCTATCGACACATTGAAGTATTTTTTGTATTGAACAGTAATCTTTACATATATCACTATTTACACAATGATTCTCATCAGCAGAATGATTAATAAATATTTGTGACAATACAACGAGTACGTTCTTATTTTATTGTTCACTTCGTACTTGTTCGCTAGGTTCGTTTAGTGTACACGCTCCAATGGTTCACTGTTTATATATTTATGTACATATTGATACACATACACGTGTCACGTCACTGACGGTCGGACGCGGACGAGCACTCGATGTCTTTCATCACAACACAGAGTTATATATATATATATAGAACCGTCTACGAAGGTTCACTTAGTTCACATTCATGTCACGACCACTGGGTTTGTCGTGACTCGATTAAGAAGATACCTACCAATAATCTGTTGATCATATTTATATTTAACAGTAAATAATTCGTATTCTTGCAAACATTTTCGATTCACCATCTAGAAGTGCACTCGTGCGTGTCCGTTCCAGCGCGCGGCGGAGGGCGGCAGCGTGTCGGATTGCAGCGAGGCGCTGGTGACGTCAGTGAGCGGCGCCGGATAGTACACGGTGGGTGCGGGGGAGGGTGCGCGCCGCGGCCGCCCCGCCGCCCCCCCGCCTCCGCCACCCGCCGGCCGCGCCGCGCGCACCTCCGAGCGGCGCAAGGTGCCATTGCGCGTCATGCGCATCGAGACGCGCTCGCCGCACGACGCGAACGAGTCGTCGCGCGTGTGCTCGGGCGAGTCGCGGCGCCGTAGCCTTCCGGCGCAGAACATTTTCAAAAATACTCGCTGAAATTTCTCTCCGAATATGACGTATATGACGAAATTCACGCTGCTGTTGATCGTCACCATTAGATTACTGGTCTTCACCAGCGGATCCAGCTTCTCTAGCTGGTTCTCTAAGAACAGCTCGAAGGAGTTGGTCACCAGCGGTAACAAGTTGCACAGAAAGAAGACGAGCACGACGACCAGCAGCATGGTGGCGAGGCCGATCTCCCGGCGTTGCACGCGCGACAGCCTCGCGCGCTCGGCTTGGGCGCGTCGCACCTGTCGGACGATGCAGGCGTTGAGCGCGGCGAGCGCGGAAAAAGGAATGATGTACATGACGATCAGGTACATCCAATGAATGTAGATTGCGACGTAAGCCTCCGTACGGAATTCCCAGTCCGGTCTCACGCAATAGATCATGTCGCCGTCGTCGACGCTGGTGTACACTTCCGCTTCGAAAAATTTTGGTGCATTGTAAGCGAGAGCGAAAGCCGCCGTCCCGAGCACATACCAGCGGGCTCTCGACGATGTGCACAGCGCTTTGGCTCGAAATGGATGACAGACGGCAACCCATCGCTCCACGGTGACGATCAGGGTGAGATATACTGACATGGTCTGCGCCGCATTGGCGATAGGGTAGGCGTACGGAGTTATATGCGGGCACACGTGGTAATAGTAGTAACGTAGCCGTCCAGTGTACGGATATATGGCCGTGAGACCGAAAAGTAGAATGGAAGTGAGTATGAGGACGGTGTCGCAGGCGGCGAGCCCCACCAGTAGGCAGTTGACGGAGGAGCGCATCTGCGGCCGGGAGAGCACGAGCGCTGAGAGCCCATTGCCCAGCAGGCCCCCGGCGCCTATCGCGTTGAGAAGCACGCCGTGTACCACGAACCGGACCAGCTTGTCGGACTCCTCTACGCCCAGATCCGAGTCGCAGCCCTGGATCGACGGGTCCGACGCGTTCAGGCTCATGTTGCGCCCGCCGCCCGCTCCGCGCCCGCGCCTGCCCGCATTCTCGTCTCAGCTCAGCGCGCGGCCGAGACTCGCGCTCGCACCCACCCTCCAATCGCCCTCCGGTAGTTATTTTCAATCTGTAAATAAAGAAAAACATATCACGTTAGCTTTTCACTTCAAAAGTATTGTACTCTGCAATCTGTGCTTTTAATCTACACCTTTTTTTTTTTTGTTTCTTCAAGGCAGGAAGGCAAGATATACTTGGCAAAAATTTAAGCCTTGTTTTAGCCTCTATTCACATTTTATTAGATATTATTATTATTATAATAATATACCATTGTGAATCGTATATAGGAAACTTCCGTCAATTAAGTACTATATGTCTCTAAACTTTGTATCTCATTAATAAATAATTGTTGGTTTTATGGAAGATGGTTGCCAATGCATCGAAGTCACTGCATGTGACATTCAGGAAACTGACCTATATCCAGTGACTGATAGAAACAGTTCGTCCCCAAAGTGATACAGGGAATCTTGGAATGCACATGGACCACCGGCTGACTTCTAAGTCTTTCTCTAGAAAGACATACAGACAAAAAGAAAAGGGGGATCAAATTAACATAAAATACAAGGGGATGCATTAGTTACTAGGCCAAAACCAATTTAGAGCTATTACATACAATTATGGGGTTTTGTTGCAAGTTCCAATATCTTGAAACAGCTTATAAATGCGCCTTGGTTTGCAAAAACATCTAAGGTTCATGAGTATATACAAACACAGTAGCCGAAGAGAAAATCATCCTAAAGTGCTGGTCACCCAACTGATAGTCCCCGACAGCATACGTCGCCATAAAAAGGCTACTAATCAGGACCACCTAAAGAGACGATAATTCTGCAGGGAATCCCACTCTACTCGCGGGGTTCATAGTCTTCCACTGATTGCAGGCTGGACACAGCAGAACAATGTGTAAAAACGTTGCGTTTCAAATTCGTTATATAATATAGAATGTGCACATTAAAGTCTCTAAAATATTAAAATTAATCGAAAATAATAGACTCTTTGGAATATTTTTTTTAATGTGTTATGTCATTCTAGAACTTCATACATAATTATGATGAGGTCTGCGCTCCTCACAAATGTCCCTGTGGCAGTGATGTCGACAAACTAGGACATCACGGACTGTCATGCCAAAAAAGTGCAGGCCGTTTCTCGAGACATGCACTTAACGATATCATACGCCGATCCCTTGCCACCGTCAACATACCAAGTCTACTTGAGCCGACTGGTATTGCAAGAGACGATGGTAAGAGACCGGACGGTATGAGTTTAATTCCATGGAAGATGGGCCGGGTGCTGGTATGGGATGCAACCTGTGCAGACACGCTGGACCCATCCCATTTATATGGAACCAACAACAGAGCTGGTGCGGCATGTGAAGCGGCTGAAAAAGCCAAAATATGTAAATACAGGGGTCTAGGCTCCGAATATGAATTTGTCCCATTCGGTGTCGAGACCCTTGTCCGTGGGGTCCTAGCGCTATAAGACTTTTCAAAGAAATAACGAAAAGATTAGTCGACATCACAGAAGACCGAAGAGCTGGCAGCTACCTTGGACAAAGAATTAGTCTAGCTATTCAAAGAGGGAACGCTGCCAGTATCTTCGGAACGTTGCCTAAAGGGCCTTTTAATAATATATTTTAGTCATCATATTATATATATATTTTTTTAAGCTTTTTAATTTTAGGTTCTTAGTTGTAAAATTAGGTTATGTAAATACTAGTAATAAAAACTCTACTAAATTATGATTCTGTCTGTCATAATCGTGACAATGTAGCCGAAGGCAGTTGTGACAGCTCGCATGACAGCTCCTGTGACATGTCGCTTTATATATCGTCAGCTACTACTCAGTACACAGACGCATGATGTATGGACTTCTGATGATGGCCGTGACACTCGCAGTGAGTGTGAGGGCGGGGGGGTCGCACGTAAACAACGGTAGCCGCTACGGGTTCCTGCGCGACTCGTCTGCGAGTAGCGGGCGGCGCGCGGACGGCGGGCGGCGCGTGTTCGGCGGCGAGGCGGCCGCGCTGGCCACGTGGCCGGCGGCGTGCGCGCTGCTCGATCGCTACTGGAGCCCGCGCTGCTCGGCGACGGTGGTGGCGGCGCGCTGGGCGCTCACCGCCGCGCACTGCGTGTCGCCGCGCCTCGCCTACGTCAAGTACAACTCGCGCCGCCCCGCCGCCCCCGACGGAGACGTCGCGCCAGTACACTATCTCTACAGACATCCCGGGTGAGATGTGCGTCCATAACGTGTCACTTTCAAAGGTCAAAGGTCGGCTGTCAGCTGTTGACGAACGGTGTCCTGTTTCTGCCTCGCCAGCGATTGCTGCGTTGTTTATTATGAATGCTGGCTTGAGTCTATCTATCTTTTGACACATTTGTTTCTTTTCCGTCACGCTTGATTGTGAATACTTTTCCTTTGCGTTTGATAACCAAAAATGGTCCTTGGTATGGCGGTGTCAACGTTGGACGTAGTCTGTCACATCTCAGGAGGACGTGTGAGCAACCCATTAAAGAAGGACGTATAAAATCTCCTACACCATAGTCATCTCAGAAACTATAAATATACGTGGACGGTATATTATTTTATAGGTATGAAATGGTAAACAGGCTAACTGGCCCACTCCTATGGTGTGGTGGTAACGAAAGTTTAATTAGCGATAGAAGAAACGAGTTAGTAGGTCGAGCCTTGCTTGTCTTTGACACGTCCATTGCGTTCATCGAATGCATCTTGCTACTTTGTAGAAGTGCTTATCGTAAAACGTTTGCTGATTGTTACTCTATTTAGTTTATTATACATATTGCATATGCATATGTTATCCAGTTGTATATGTATTTTAGAGAATGTTATTCATTAAGAATGTTTTTTATGAATGAATAAATTGAACGACGACAGGTACAAGGTGGTCCAGGAGGACGAGGGCCGCGGTGTGGACGTGACGGTGCTGCACCACGACCTGGGCCTGGTGCGCACCCGCGCCGACATGGTGCTGCACCACGGCAGCCTGCCCGGCCTGCACTCGCTGCGGACCTACAACCCTCTCCACCTCACCAATGTTGAAGTACAGGTAACGTGCTTACAATACCTACTAATGTATCACGACGAGGACGCGACGCGGCGGGGTTCGTGTTCGTATACGATTTTGTTTAGATTTTTCTCTCCTTCAGACTGGTGTCCATGTACTCATTGTTATATGTATTTTATTTTCTGTACACTAGCTCAGTTATACTGCAGAATAAAAAAAATGTTTTTAAATCTTCCTCGGGTATGTGTTGAACCATGTAACCACATAATCACATAGAACTAATCGTTTAACATCCCACCGTAGAGAGCAGGTAAATGAATTCATTTCTAGTATTTTTGCATCCTCCATCAAACAGTTAATGAATCTAAATTATTTAATTTTAATAAACTCTAAATGTGAATTGTTTCTAATTGAGTTATAATTATGACCAAGCCTCTAGTGCGTTGTAGTCTTTCATGTCCCTGGTTAACAGATATTCTTATATCGTAATAGACAGTAGTAACGTCTAGAATAATTTATATATATTTTATTCATTATTAAGTATGCGTCTAGATTTACTTAAGTATTATATATATTTCTGTTTATATGTATGAAGGTATCCGCAGAGTACCAGTGTCGTGGCTCCTCGTCACGGTATATATTGAGCGGAGACCTATTTGGTACCACAATTCAGGATCTAATTTGAATTGTATTTTTTTTCGTTTGTTATTTTATGTGTATTAAATACACATATTTAATTTCTTTTCTTTCTAGAACTGAGGGCAGTTATAAAATTAAAATTAAATCGAGAATTAATATCTTAGTAGTTACGTGTGCTGCCACGGTCGCGGTCGGATTGTGGTATATGAGCGTTCATTGTTTGTGAGCAGGTGTTGGGTTTCGGTCGCACGGAGCGGTCGCCGCTGGGCGAGGAGCTGTTCTCTGTGCGGCTGCGGCTGGCGGCGTGCGAGCGCGGCGCGTGGCTGCACTGCGCGTGCGGCGCCGCGCCCGCCCGGGACCCGCGCGGGGTCTGCGCCGGGGACTCGGGCGGACCCGTGCTCTACAAAGGGCTGCAGGCACGCTACTCACTCACTCTCTTCACTACACCACCACCTCACGACCAGGAGGCTCTCAATTCGACAGTACTTAAACGATCACTAGACTGACTGATGACTAGAGGCTGACGTATTTGGAATAAATGTATATTGCGCTAATTTCAATGTTTTGTCTGAATTGTAATTAAAATTAGATTACAATATAACTTAGTTAAGACATGAGTAGGTGATTTATATTTGTTTGTGTAGATTTATTGCAATAGGTTTATGTTTGTGGCAGGTGGGCGTGACGTCGATGGGCCCGGTGGAGTGCGCGAGGAGCGCGGGCCGGCAGCCGGCCGCCGGTGCGACCAGCGTGTTCACGATGCTGTACAACTACGCAGACCTTGTGAACGCTACCATCTCTAATACGGACACTCAGCTACGTATGAGGATGATATCAGCCGCGCCGCACGTGTACGTGCACGTGGCCTACGCCGGTGGTGCGCTGTCGCTGGTATCCGCCACGCTTGCCTTACTAGCCGCACGGTGGACATAATGGAATCTAATTTGGACGCGATATCTACGCTAGCAGTATAAGAACTACCTAATGAAGTCTGTCATCTAATCTGGCTATTTTTATGCATTGTGTAATAGTGATTCAATTCGATAGAACGAAAATGTAGTAGCCTAAAATATTAAAAAAAATATATTCCCACATATATTATTATAATATTATTCCGTGAACACCATTTATTAGTCTGTATTATATATGAAGTGTGTAATTAAACATACTTACTAGAATAATATGCAGCCGTTGCTCCCACATTGGTTCCTGCAACAAAACAAATATATTTGGTGAGTATTTTAGTATATACAGACAGAGTCACAGAGAGCTCTTTTATTGATAGAAAATTCTTTGCTAATACTTAATTGTTTGATAATTGGCTTTTAAACGGTTATATTGTAGATTTGTTTGCGCGATAAGCATTTTAGAGGCAGGAGCAGGCTATAAAATGTGACGTTAGCGTCTCAGTAGATAATCTTTATTTATCTATTGTTCACACTACTTACGAAAAGTTCAAGGCCCGTCCATTCGTTTTGGACGTAAACGATACTATCGTGGTCGCTAAAAGTTGGTCATTAAAACGAAATAGACTGTATTTATATGTAAATATATACACAATGTGTAAATGTGATTACTGTTTATTGAAAAGTACATATAATACACCTAAAAGTAACTGTTTATTGAAAATGTGAAGCGTGTGAGAGGTGACACATATGAAATGTGAAGGTAAACAGTGAGCCTCTCATTTACATACTCGTATACATAAAGTTTCAGTTGGTGTCGTCCGCAGCCGAGCCTGTTGTTTGATGTTTGTTAAGATGGAAAAAGTTACATTTTGAATATATTGAGAACATTATTTAAGGGTCCCCTTTGTGTTGCTGGTCGTCTGAGTTTATAAACAACAAATATTATTACGTGTCTGATATGTACTGCACTCGATACATATAACTCATGACACACTTATTCTCTATTTCTAATTCTACCAACAATCAAGTATAGTGAATATGTTGCGTGTGACGCCCAGCGACCGCCCTAACAGATTATGGTAGTGGCACCATAGATAAAGACAATATAGTGAGAAACATGAACGAATCCTGATTGAGTGTACACGCGAAACAATTTATTGTTATGACCGGGTACTGAGGACGGCATTTACGTGGTAAGTTGAGGTTTGAATGATAACAATTTTATCAATGATTGTACCTCTTATACAATGTATATTTTTATGACAATTTCATGCTGATTAGATTTTGGTATTGATAATACCATAGACTGTACCAATGTTCTCTTCCGATTCTCATTTGTCCCCGCTCGTTGTTATTCGTAACTCGTCTCGTCTGCGCACGCTGCACCAGAGACTTTATTTGATAAACCTTAGAACAGTCAGTAATAGAATCATTCACAGCAACCAATGTACGCCGTCCACGGAACATTGACACAGTTTCACTTGTTATGTACAAGTCATTATTTTCATGTGGAATCAACTTATCGGTGTAACTTACTGATAACTACTTAGTTTAAAAAAGCATTACATCATGAGAAATAGAAATATAAATTAATTATTTATTCAAATAAACATTATTGTACTTTGGAATAGTGATACTTATTCACGTACCGCTCATTCGGAAAAATGAGTAATGTAAAGGAAAAACGAGCAAGAAACTTGCGTGTTGTGTTGTAACTTTACATTTTAAGTTAATATGTGTGAATTCAGACTACCAAAAACTAATCCACTAGTGTCAAAATAATAAATATATTTTAACTATAATTATACGTTTAATTCTAATTTATTTGAGAGTAACGGTGAAATAATGTGAAACGTTCTTTGAGAAATAGGTTTCTTAGCGTCGGGTCGGGGGAATACAATGGAGTTTGTGTTATTCTTAAGGTATTGATGTACAATGTTCTCTTATTGGCATGCGTAAATGTCTCTTAAAATTAATAACCAAGTGAACAAAGTTTGCTAATAAATAATGCTATACAGAGTGAGAGTGCGTAATGACCGCACCGACTCCGAGGTCGATTCACCCGCCCCTATCTAAATCTCTATTTGTTCAACAATTTATGATCGCCGCTACAACGCAGCCTGAATCAGCTTTTCTGACGCAGTAGGCTGCAAGGGATATTCTATTTTATTTCGTTAATGTTACGGTCGTATATATCAAGATGTAACTCGCACAATTCGAATCTCGTAACACTATGTCCTGGAGGAGGTCACTGAAGAAATGCTGCGTAAAATAGCACATAATTATTATTTGTAATTATTTTCGTAACTTGTACAAATAACACTGTACCGCTTAATCATGTGATGCCCGTGGTAGTGACAATCACTCCGGAGGTGTGATGTCTGCCTGCGCTTGTGCTATGTTTGATTCTTCATCGGAATCACAACTTTAAACTCTTTTAACTCTTTCAGACTGAAACAGGAAAAACAAAAGGGGTGTGTGGGGAACACAAACAAATGTTACAACCTCGGTAGAGAAATTTTATAAATTGTTTTGTATTAGCATCATTAGTGGATTGATTACCTATATTGAAAATATATTTAGCAACATAAGTATACATCAGTTTAAAATAGTGGAGCTGTATAGCCGCTTCATTATTAATTATTACGTATCCTTGTGTTGGACGGACGATGGAGACGAACGACTTGGATCCACTGTAATGAGTTCGTGCTGAAAGGATTGAATGTATGACTGGCGGTGTTGGAGCGGCGATCACTCAGTTACAACGACTCACCTCTAATGTATAGCCGAGGGTTTCAGCAAATGGGTTCCATTCAAATAGGGCGACAGGTGGAGGGGAGGATTTTTGGAGTCATAGCACACGACTGGAATGTTCCTTAATCTATTGAAAAGTGTATTATTAAAAAAAAACTTCATAGGTTATAAGAGAAGATACTAATATATAATTGGACTAATATAAAGTTTCAAAAAATAATTTTAGTATTAAAAAATATATATATATAATAGAAGCGCATTGTTACTTGTTCATGGTGTGGAGTCATAGAAGAACAACCATCGATTACAGCTAAGGGCGTTTCAAAGCGTGATCGAGTAAATATGTATTCATAGAAATTAAATATAATGTATTACGTTCCTTATAAAAAACTCTGTATTTTTTTGGTCCAAATATTATTTTTTAATTTCAAGTCTGGTGTAAACAAGAGAAAATTGTATACAGTAGATTTGAATGAGGATTATGAGCCCTATCGATTGGTGCATTGACTTAGTCGTAAAAGTAGTAAAAAAACAAATGTAGTCCCCGTTTGAATTTTTTTCAATGTCGCGAAATTGCAACGGTAATGTTATGTAAGTGGGTGTCTCGTAACCAGCGCGCTACGGTGCTACGGTGCTACGTGGCTACGGGGCTACGGTGTCGAGAGCGGCGCGTAGCATCCAACACCACTCACGGCCCGCGCCGCAGCACGCCAACCATCCGCCCGCCGGAGCCAGCAATCTGCATTAACTCGAAAATAACAAACATTTGAAAATCGACTTTAACGGTTTGTCTTAGGGTCGAATTATCATTTTTTATATGTGAGTTAATGCTGTTTATTATTAAACTGGCGGTATGTATACACTACGCTACATACATTGCTAATGACACTTTTTCCTATATACGTCAGGAAGAAGGTATAGAATGGAATAAAGTTATAACAATCTTTAACTAATAATTGATGTCTTTATATTGAGTATATAGATATAAATAATTTTAAATGTTGCATGCCCAATGATATGTATTGTACAATAATAACTCACGTAGACCTATGTTTCATTTGACTTTGATTTGAATTATTACGTATTAATATTATGACGTATTCATTTGTAAAGTTCATACGAGCTAATTTTAATAAATATGACTCCAATACTTTTTATATATGTACTTAACTATGTGAGTGTATTACATGATTCTACTGTCACATTGGGAATGCTGCTTCATCTGACGAGGACACATCAATGAGAAAGATACTCAATTGTTGTGGCGACTTGTAATTTGGTGATCATAATTATGTACTAATGTATGTATATAGACCTCGATTGTGTATATAAAGGCATCCATTAATCGCGGCCGTCCCCCGGGCTATGTTTTAGTACATAATCGTTAAATATGCTTTAATCGTAAATCGAATATAACCGCATTTCCATCGTAATAGATGTGCTACTCGTATATGTTTACATATATATTTGCTCTCGTTTGTTTATTTGCTAGCACACCGTTCCCGGACATCGTACCAGTATGACTACTTGCTCGCTACGTAGATATTTAGTCACCTTTTATCATTCTGTTTTAAATATAAATTGATGTGCCGTATGATGTATGCTAAACCACTAGATCACAAAGGCCGTCAGCCTTTGTGATCTAGTGGTTTAGCATACAGACTTATTTCCGATGATCGCGGGTTCGAATCCTTTCATGGTACAAACACTTATATTAATGATGTATGATTATTTAGGTGTTTTCTATAGATATATATTACGTATGTAAAATAATTACTCAATGCATTTTTATATATTGTTAATGGGTGCTGCGTGATTGATCCTGAGTTATTGCTAATATCATTATATTGTAAGGGTTGTTCCTACACTTATTGATATTGATAATGTACGGGGATGATAAATATAAGATACGTCCCGTAGTGAGCGCTTCATGTTATACACTGATTTATTGTATAGTAATATATATATATATATATATAGTGATATGATATATGCTACGTAAGTGATATAATTTATATATATGATTATTAAGGTACGGTGTTCCGTAGAATGTTATTGAATGGTTGCAGTATAAAGTTTAAGAAATACTAAAATATGTATCGCTATTAACACGATCCATAATTTTGTATTTGTTCAAAATCTTTTCAAGATTTTGAACCTCTATTATACTCTAACTCGCGTGTTGTAATTTTTTGGGCTGTCTAAGTATCGGGACGTTGACGTCAGTAATGATGTACTATTACGTCCGTCATTCAGCGGCCAGACGTCTGGGTGTGCTATATTGCTGTGTGTACATCTGTTTGTATGTCGCACCCGACGCTCATCAAATATAATACATCTCATAAAGAAAAAGGTTCACTTACAACCCAAGTGTAATAGATGGTGCTTAATTTTTTCAGTGACCACACAGTACATCACTCACGATACGTGTTTCGCTGCGGCCCGCTGCAAACATATAGCATACATTTGTTTAACAGT